TTACTTATATTCGTAAGAAAGTAGGGTTTCGAGACTACCAGTAAATCATTGTAATGAGATTGCAATATATATATATGGGAAACCCACAAATGCGGGTTTCTTGCTTAATTCCTTCTCAAACCATACGCATAGTATTAAGGTAGGAGTAATGAAATCAATGATACTAAGGAGTTTACGTCTAGTGGACGTAAATCATCAGGAACAGGAGTTAGAAGGGCCGATAAAAATCTTAGTTGAGAACAATTATCCGTTAGGATTAATTTCTAATAATTTCAAAATACTGAGAAATAGAGTCAAAGGAAACCATTATTTGAGACAAAACAAGGAATTAGATAACTCTTTGTCCAACTTTCTTCCTTCCAACCTTCAAGCTTTCAAGAAAGGTAGGCGAATTACAGAGGAAATGAAGCGTCAAGACAATGTAGAGACAATAACGCTTTCCTCGATCATGTCTTTTTTAAAATAAAATCTTCAGACACCATCTGCAGATCAGGTTGTTATAAGGTTGTCTGCTCATGAGAGGGAGATTTGTCGATCCATACATAAAAGGCTATCAGAACACAGAACCGCATAAAAAGGTTTATGGATTCAGAAATCGAAGGTGGCTGGACATATGGTCACTATAGGACACCAGATGTAGTGGTCTGAATCCCAACATTTTGCCGGATATGGGGACTTTAAAGCTAAGCAGAAGATCAGGGAGTCGATTAAAATTAACAAAACAGAGAACATCCTGAATAAGAGGAACAAATGTAGGAAAGTAAGTAAGAACTATCTCTAGCTGCGAATTAGAATGATAGAGAGAAAAAGAAAAGAGCCAATGAGTAAGAGAAGACTTGACTAAGCTGGAGTCTATTTTTGGACCTAAAATTGGCAACTGACTCGTGACTGTTGCATACACACAAGAACACGCATCCACAAAGCTCTCATAAGACACAGGATTACAGGAGCATTCACTAATTTAATTACATTGACAAAATTTGTGACCACATCCCATCCCCTTTCTGCATCACTTTAACCCGCTTACATGCATGTTGGACAAGCATAAAACAGCCAACGAAATCATGGAATGCTTCATTAAGATCGCAAAGTAAGATATAAGAAGTAGTTATGATCTCAGCTTGCCCCCTTTCTTGGTTTAGGTTTTTGGGGATTGTTCGTGAATAATGATTTCTGGCTCCGACGATGTTCATGACATGACGGACAAAAGCTCAGCACAGGGTCATCGAGGTAATAGGAAAATGAGCCAAGGTCTTCCTCACACAATTCAACAGTCAAAAGTCCAAGGCAACCGTCTTTCGGTTTCCGGTGAGGCCAATCTACGAATCCCTTCCGCCCACCTTCTCAAAAGAAATAAAAGGTATGCTAGTATTCGTATATTTTTGCTCTATTTTGTGATGTATAGATTTCTGCTTTGATGATGTCTGTCACAGTACGGACGAAAGCTTGGCACAGTTTCATTGGAATTGTAGAACGATGATTTGAGGACTTCTTCGCACAATTCAACAGCCTTCCCTACGCGGCAATCCTCCTTCGGTTTCCAGTGAAACTACATAACGAATTCCTTCCGATCAACTTTTCCTTCGAACTGGAAAGTCATGAAACAATATGTCACTAAGAAATTCTTCGAAACTAAGTCTTTCTTCATGGCTAGGGTTGTCTAGAAGCGCACCGATAAGAGTTGATTACTAGGCAAAATGGAAATTAAAGCCTAATATGACCTAAAACTCTTTCGGTAGGTGCACGAACAAATACTTATCAATCAACTCTAAGTTTTTAGGTATTCACCTTTTACCTTATTACTAAATAAAGAATGCATAACTCGTAGACTCTGACTCTTGGTAGATATATTCAAGACGACTAATAAATCACCTGATGTCTAAACATTTGATTATGTAAAATAAAAATAATTGTACATGCATAGGAAAATCTTACTTGCTGCAGCATTTCAACCTGCCGGATGAAATACTCCGAAAATCGGCGGTCTACCTTAGTGTCGGCTACATGGATCATACCACCATCAACGAAAAAATCCAGATCCGCTGCGGCCGAAGGCTGAAAGTCAGAGAAGAGCAAGCCGCTAGTAGCAGCTGCTCCACCTCCAGCCAGAGCCTGTGCTAGTCCAGAGGGGTCCGCTGAGTCGGCAAGAGCACCAGTGCACATTTGGCTGCGTAACTTATGCTTAAAGCACATTAACGCCATATGAACATCAGACTCACTCTGGTTAGAGAGAACAGGGAGCATAAAAATGGCAATAGAAAATAGCGATCAAGCTAGTGAAGAAGTGTATGGAAAATTTAGTGCAACGCTGCTATTTACTTTTAGCAAGGTGGAAAGATAACGTAATTTTGGAATGTAGAAAAACTGGGTTTCGAAGAATCCCCTAATAGATTGATGTTGAAATACCTTACATCTCATATGAAGAAGCGAGTAGAAGGGATTCGTAGGTTAGCCTCATCGGAAGCTGTGTGGGATTGCCTTGGAGCCGTGACTGTAAATTTGAGCAAATAGGTCCTCCGTGCACCGCCCTGCGACACCGATGAATCTTTGACGAGCTTGTGTCCGTCATGTAACGGACAACGTAAAAATAGGATACCATGCTTAACGGTAATTCACCAAAACACCAAAACCTTTCGCTCGCCTCTTTGAACGAAATGAAAAGTACTTCAACATCAATCTATTAAGGTATTTGTCTAAATTTGGTTTTACCATGTATCTACATAGTAAGTACGAATATCACAGTTCATGAAAAGCATCACTTTACACTAAGACCAAGGAAGCACTGGTCCGGCAGGTTAATCATACTACTTTTTATTGAAATTATGTTTGTCTCTTAAGGTTGTCCCTATGTTTTGTATTATTTATAGATCAAATTTGCCTCATAAAACTAAGCAAGCCCTTCAGAGCGTATCCCAGAATTTGCTTAATATTAGGTCCAAAGAAAACATCATAAAATTACATTACTTGATGACGAAAACCATATTACAGCAATCATTGGCGAACATTTTTACATCGAAAGATTCCTTCAAATAACAAAGAATGACATACAGGTTTTCACACATATAAGGTACTCAGTAGGGACCATACAGAAACCCTTGAGTTTAAACTCAGGGGTTTCCTGCAGCGTTGTGTAATAAACAAGGAATTTGATAAATGGAAGATGAACACTTCTCCAACGAGATGTTAGGTCCCCGAATGCATATGGTTAGCTCAAAATACATAAGTTAGAGTAGCACTCATAATTATTGTAAATAATAAGGGTAGTGTGATGCATAAACTATCACGATTTATTTGTCACAAGGTAAACAAATTTTCGAGACGTGAAATATGTCAGTGCATTAACAATTTTAACAAAGAATTATATGGCTAAATTTAAGGATCGCATAATTTAAGAGGCACTTGTAGTCCTTAAATCACTATATGGACGGCAACTTTGCCGTTTGGCAGTATGGCAAAGAGAACCTGGAGAATTTTATTGGTTTGATGAACAGGACAGATGGTAAGACAAAATTCACGATCGAGTTCGAAAAGGAAGGTGGT